GCCTCCTGAGTAGCTGGGATTACAGGCATGTGCCACCATGCCCAGCTAATTTTTTGTATTTTTAGTAGAGACGGGGTTTCACCATGTTGACCAGGATGGTCTCGATCTCTTGACCTCGTGATCCACCCGCCTCGGCCTCCCAAAGTGCTGGGATTACAGGCGTGAGCCACCGCGCCCGGCTGGCCTTTCTTGTAGAAGTAGAAGATTTAGTATGTAGCTGGATAGAACTAGTAGATGAAAAGTGATTATTGTTGCCTTTGCATCTTTTTTTTTCTTTAATGTATTTTTGTTTTGAGACAGTCTTGCTCTGTCACCTAGGCTGGAATGCAGTGACACGATCATGGCTCACTGTAGCCTTGACTTCCCAGGTTCCTAGCAGTCCTTTCACCTCAGCCTCTGGAGTAGCTGAGACCACAGGCGTGCACCACCATACGCAGCTGATTTTTGTGGTTTTGGTCTCATGTTGCCCAGGCTGCTGTCAGATTCCTGAGTTCAAGCTACCTGCCTGTCTTGGCTTCCCAGAGTGCTAGGATTACAGGCATGAACCACCACACCCAGCCTCCTTTGTATCTTAGGTAAGGTTGAGATTTCAAAGTTTTGTTTAATCTGAGTCAGTCATCGATGGGCACTCTGGTGAGTATTTTGTACATGCTGACTTTTAAATCCCTTAAAGGTTGTTACAGCTGCTCTTTAGACTGCAAAAATAAGCCCTATCTTTGGATCACCTGAGGTCGAGTTCGAGACCAGCCTGGCCAACATGATGAAACCCTGTCTCTACTAAAAATATAAAATTATCCAGGCATGATGGTGCATGCCTATAGTCACAGCTAATCACGAGGCTGAGGCAGGACAATCACCTGAATCCAGGAGGCGGAGTTTCCAGTGAGCTGAGATCGTGCCATTGCACTCCAGCCTGGGTGACAGAGCAGGACTCCATCAAAAAAAAAAAAGAAGCCCTCTCTTTTAGCTTGAGTGCTCACATTACGTATTTCCTTTATCTCTAAGAAGGGATGGGCAAACACAGCCTATGGGCCAAATTTGGCCCACTGCCTGTTTTTTTTACTATCTGCAACCTATATGTTGCTCAGGCTGATCTCAAACTCCTAACCTCAGGCTGTGTCCTCTAGCCTCCCAAGTAGCTGGGATTACAGGCACAAGTAACTGCACTCTGCTCTAGGAATTTTGTTTGTGGTGGGTTTTTTTTTTTTTTTTTTTTTTTTTTTTTTTTTTTTTTTTTAGTTTTTTGTTTTTTCTGGTCCTTTTATTTTTTTTTTTTTTTTTTTTTGATACAGTTTCACTCTTGTTGCCCAGGCTGGAGTGCAATGTCTCCATCTCGGACCTTCCAGGTTCAAGTGATTCTCCTGTCTCAGCCTCTCAAGTAGCTGGTATTACAGGGACCCGCCACCACTCTCGGCTAATTTTTTGTGTTTTTAGTGGAGATGGGGTTTCACCATGTTGGCCAGGCTGGTCTTGAACTCCCGGCCTCAAGTTCATCTCAGCCTCCCAAAGTGCTGGGATTACAAGCATGAGCCGCTGCACCTGGCCTGCTCTAGGAATTTTTACTTTTTTTTTTTTTTTGAAACAGGGTCTTGCTCTGTCACCCATGCTGGAGTGCTGGAGTACAGTGGTGCAATATCAGCGCACTGCCACCCCACTCCTGGGCTCAGGCAGTCCTCCCTCCTCAGCCTCCTGAGGAGCTGGTACTACAGGTGCATGCTGCCACACCCAGCTAATTTTTGTATTTTTTGTAGAGCGTGTTGCCCAGGTTGATATGTTTTTAAATGTTGGAAAATCCACAAAAAATATTTCATAATATATAAAAACTGCATGAAATTTAGAATATGGTGTCTGTAAATAAGGTTTTATTGGAACACGGTCACACTCATTCATTTACATTTTATCTGTGGCTTCTTTTTTTGAGACAGAGTCTTGGTCTGTTGCCAGGCTGGAGTGCAGTGGCGCGATCTCGGCTCACTGCAACTTCCACCTCCTGCGTTCAGGTCATTCTCCTGCCTCAGCCTCCTGAGTAGCTGGGATTACAGGCACGCACCACCACACCCAGCTAATTTTTTTGTATTTTTAGTAGAGGCAGGGTTTCACCATGTTGGCCAGGATAATCTGGATCTCCTGACCTCGTCATCCTCCTGTCTCTGGCTCCCAAAGTGCTGGGATTACAGGCGTGAGCCACTGCGCCTGGCTTTTTTTCTTTTTCTTTTTATTTTA